TACCTACATAATATTATATACCTGCATTGTACTTATATATATGCATTATAATATGACTACGCGCACGAATTTTACTAGCAAAATATGATTTAAATAGTAGCGATCACCTGCAATAATGCGCTGCACTTAAAGTAATACAGAATGGTGTTCAGTCATGTTTGTATAAATAGGATATAGGTAGGTACATTTGTTTGAAACCTTCTACGTTTATCTTAATTATGTTATGATATAAAACACAATACAGTACGAGAAGTTTATCCTACAACTTTGCGTGTCGAATGAGACGGAAAATATTCCGTGTTACTAGCATCGTATTGAAATGACATATTATTATATTTTCGCTTCGACGATAATATTACATGATATTGTTATGATAACAGGGTTGTTTCCACGGGCTACAACTCTTGTAAATATATATAATTACGCATGCATAAATATTCAGGTGCAGTTGCCAAGTGAGTAGCCAGGATAATTTTATTCAGGGGGCTTTTTAATTTGATATTTAAGTATAACATATGGGGGGGGGGGTTACACACTATCTTACTGTATTCATATTCATACTATTTCTAAAATATGGAATAGAACCATACATGACAACATTTATTTATATAACACAAGTTTTGTGGAAATCTGAATCANGACTCAGTCACTAGCTAGACTGCTAGACAAACATTTATAGTTTTTTCCATTTCTTAACTTATATAGGCAGCTATATTGTGTTATGGAGTTCACGAGTATTCACGATTATTCACACATTCTGTCGTTGGTTTTACAGCAGCTGTTCTCAAACTGTGCTCCGCGGAGTTCTGTGGATCCGCGAGAGTAGTCTAGGGGCTCCATGGCTCCCTGAGCATATATTATCTGTATTAATTAAATTCAAATTATTAAATTATTATTATATTTCTTACTTACATTTTCATTTTTATACTTGTATTCAATATTATTTGGACCGTACCAATATGTATTATTTTAAACGTTTAACACTGTAAACTATTTTTAAATCTACATATTTTTTATAATTAACATCATTTTTTTACGAATTATTGTTGTCTCAAATAGACATTTCTGAATTTTGGGGCTCTGTCATTTTTTTTAGGAACATAAGGCCCCACGAACAAAAAAGTATGAGAACCGCTGTTTTTTAGTATTAAAAAATACCAATAATACCCATATAATAATAATAATATAATATTATTACATATGACATATTATGTCGGTTCTGATGTGTGGATGTGGGGAACTATAATCTTTACAATTGTTACGAAAATACGGAAGTAAACTCATTTTAACTTTTCATTCATGTTGTCACTCTATATTAACGTATGTACATTTCTGATTTCATAATAATATAAATATATCTGTGTCTTGATATTATGTTGATCGTTGATGGATATTTGCAACATCTTTCCTATATATATAGCAGAAACAATATAATACACTAACAGTTACAACCATCGGCCAGTTGCAAATTCACTTGATCAATATTACAATATTTGACTATACACTGTTATTACATTTTATCGCTTTGTTTACCCTTTTTACATGGAATAATTAAAATATTTTAACTTGAACATGTCAGATATTTGTATAAATAATTCATAATAGACCCTCTACATTAGTTTAGGATACGTATACCGATAATGATCACCCATTTAACATAACATAACAAAAATAAAACTAACTATTCCAAATATTACTATGGCCCTTGAAAGTATTTTTTTATACATAATTTTGAGTCATTCAAAAACATTTTTCTAAAAAAAATATATTTTTTAGCATTTTTAAAAATTATCTTTTCTGATGATAACTTGTATTTTTGTTCCTTATTCCAAAGCAAAATATTTTTTGGAGTGCCTATTTCAGTATATAAAAATCAAATGTTGGTTTATAAGTTATAGAAACAAAATTAAACTATTAAAGTAATGAAGATCGGAGTGGAGTGGCATAACAGGGGTACTCAAAATACTCCGAATAATATTCTGCTTAGGAATGTGAAATTAGAAATGTATGTTGTCATTCAAGAGAGTAAAAACTTTAAAAATAAAACGAATAAAAATAGTAAGAAACATATTTTTTATCTAAAAATGTTGATAACTAACGATTTGAAATTATTTAAAAGAAATTCATATTTTTTGAAATAAAGAGAGTATAGCTTTAAATGATCACACACTACATAAAATTACATTACACAACATAATACGTAATATTCTTTAATTATTTAAATGATTGTTACCACACATACATAAATAATAAATATATATCTATGAGTTACACATCTCCGGGTTAATAACACGGATAGGTACTACTAAAATAGCTATATTATAATATAATTGTTAACTTAAAAATATTTTCGAGCGTTTTTGGAGTGTATCGAAATCAACAAGAAACAATTTTATAGTTATTTCGAGAATTACATGAAAATTCCTGGTACAAAACGAACTAGTATTGCAAGCTCCTTACGATTCACAATAAATTATAATTTACGTCTGAACGAAAACACGAACAGTGTGACAACATAAAATATTTATTGTTTCGTTTTTCCTGGAAATGACAGTTTAATGGATTTCTTGCCATCTGCAACGATTAGACGCTTAAATACTCATAAATTCCGTATGCAGCTGTTAACAGCCAATCAAAAATGTCGGTACATCAAAAATCTAAATAATCAACGAACACACTTTTCAGATAAAAATAGCTCGGTATCGACATTTTTTTTTACAAACCAATGTATTTTGATACATTATATCAAATTAATATCAAATAAAACAAATTCGATACAGCAATTAAACGATTCGACTTCGGTTTGCAGCTTGGCACCTCTACAGAACATAAGTCAACTCATCGTCTGCAACAGAGATATTCGACACTGAGCTGCAAACCGAAGTCCAATCTCCCAACCACTCGGTGGACTGCAAATAGTTGGGATCGGCGTTGAGATTGTGGTTAAAACCAGTGACACAATCCGTTGACTTGTAAATTAATGAGTGAAGTCCAGTGTATACGACCGACCTTACATAGATTCCGACCAAAAATATCAAGTTTGTGAACTGGACTTCCTGCCGAATGTCAGCTGCTTCTGTTGGTATCACTGCAGGCTCCCCGAATGATTGAAGGAACAGAGTCATTTGCAGATTCTATTAAAGATTTATTTTAATATAACTTCTAGATTCGTGAATAGAACAGTGAGTAAAGAATAATAATAAGTATAATAATAATAGTAAAAACAACAATAATAGTTATTTCAATAATATAATATTATGTTCACACAAAAAAACCGATGGTAGGTACCTTATTAAGAGGCCAGTAAAATATGAAAATATTACAAGCCAATAAACATATAGGCTGCATTAATGGAAAGCCGTTTATAAGTTACAACAGATCTGTGAATTTGTTTTCAATTTTGTTTATCTGCTGTTTTCCTAATTAAAGTAGGTACTGCAGCGTATTTAAGAACATTTTTGATTTTATAATTTTACAAATAAGTACATAGATATAATATTAATATAAAAGACGGCTTTCGAAAGAATAACATTTAACACGATAATATCATATATTCATATAGATACAGTCGCTAAATAAAAAATTTGGTTAGTTCCTGTATGAAATATTTTCAGGTACCTTTGAGTAGTGCAGCGTGGTCGGGGGGACCTTTTAAAGATTATACAGTTGTACAGAGTTGTAAGGGTTTCTATTGTTTATGAATAAGTTTTCCGTAGATGAGGGTTTAAACATTTGTACAGGGGATATTCATCAATCCAAAACGGATCGTATACGTATTTATTTTGTGAATCTAGAATAATGATTTAATTATTATTTACTGCATACAGGAGACCTAAATAGGCTGTGCTAACTGTATAATGTATGCGCACGCGATATTTTTAAATTTTAAATTTAGAACAATCCATTGCATTTAAAAACGATTCCTAAGCTCATAAATTAGGTTTAAAAAGTCGTCATCACTTTGTTAAAAAAAAACATATTTTAGGAATTTTCATTTTTTAAGATTTTTGTTTTTTTGCGGCAGTGTTCGGTTAACAATAATATGTTATACGTGCTTAGAAATTGTATACAAAGGTGTACAGTGTAGTTTTGCTTAACTTTTTTTACCCGAAACGCGTTTTCCGAACAAACAAAAGACCAATATATTTCCTTTCTTCGCGGACTTTAAAGTTCTATTATAAAGTCGATAGTGCACACAGCTATTACAGTGCTTACTAAAGTTTCGTAAAATTAACTATACGCACTTACCTTTACCCTTATGTATATACACACAAAAACAAATATGAAGAACGAACTAAACAAATAAAGATTCTGGTCGGAATGATTGAATTTTCGTGAAGCCACATTGTGTCGTACGAAAACAAATTATTATTTATATTATGTCACAGTGCGCGTACATAAACGGTGCGTTTTTTTTCCGAAGTACAAGTGTTTTCGAAAATCTCCAAAGTCATTCACTTGAAGCCGTCAGTGAAGTACTTGAATGTTGTACCTACCTACCTACACCCGATTGTTGATGGAATCTGATTCTGTGTATGTAAATACGTACAATATATAAGTACGACGTATAAATTATAGGTACGTTATTTTATTTGTGAATTCAAATGTCATCACTACATCATGAATAATAATTCAAATCATTTTAGAGTACATCAAAAAAGTCTGTAGAATAGCAACGGACAAGTGGTATTTACCTATAGTTACCTATGCCAGTAGTTAGAATAGTTTGTAAAATGTAAAATATTGTATTCTCATAAACACAGTTTTGTTTTTTATGCAATCGACATCCGACGAGTGGTACATAATAATATTAACAGTGAATTAATCAGTTCTGTGTATCGCTCGTCCAAATTATTCAAAAATATATGTTTTTGACTCTAAACTCTCCAATCGTATATGTATGCATATAGTTCAATCTTTGTTTAGTTTTATTTCAATGCTTTTCGAGTATGATACAATTACACCTGTAAAATGAGTAAAAAGTGAGTATTATAGTAAAGTTACTCTATAAAACCTTTTTTTATTCCACTGTAATAGTATTGTATTGCTGTTTTTGTTACACAACCATTGGTGCGACACTATATTATATTAATTACATTTGACTAAAGGTAACGTGTGATGAACTAAATAATACAGAAATAATAATAAATTATAATGATATTAGCTTAGTAATAATTTCTTCTGTACGCTTTTCGATGATACTGCCGAACATATAACCATGCGTGACATGTTGCATATAGTCCGGAGCCGTGAAAATTACGTTTCGACGCTCTCTACGGGTTATAACTTGGTGTCCTGAAAAGATACTTTATATTATGTAATGTATTTCCCTTGCACTTATATAGGTATAAGTAAATTAATTCAAATCCAAAATACAAATGCGATTACATTTTGTTTTTCCAACCACACTATACCAGAGGTTTGACTATCACCGCTAAAAAGATTAAAACTAAAAACCCACTCATTCGAATCTTTCGATTCTTTAAATAAAAACCATACATGTTTAATTAAAAAAAAACCAAACAAAAAATTTCAAATTGATACTATACACAGTCACATCGGTGTGTTTGCAATTATTATCAAGAATTTGAAAATATGGTATAGGTACTTTAAGTATACTTGAAAGTTAAAACCAGATTTTGAATAACTGCATTATCGAAGGAAATAGGAATGAGAGTGCTTGGCGAATCACCCCGTTTAATTAAAAGCACTCTGTTATGATTTAAATATTATTTCGGTATCCTCCCCTCAGAAAATCCTTGAGTGCCATTTACACTCTCTGCACTCGTGTATAATAGAGCCGCCGTACAGACCACGATAGAAATAATAATAAATGCGTTCGTTGATTGCATGCTTCAGGGTGTCGACAACCTGCACGAGATTAATACTATCAACAACGATCGCCGTCATGTCACCGTCAGCGGTGAGGCGGCGGCTGACCTGGAACGGGACGCCGCCACCAACACCGCCTGCACGACATCGGCGACCGCGGACGGCCCGAAGGGACGCGACGTTGCAGTGACGGCCGACTCACCTGTGACCGGTGGCGGGGTCGGGTGCGACAGCGACGACCCCAACCGCCACGACGACAGTGATCGCACCCGACAACCGCAGCTACAGCAGGAGGACCCGGCCATACAGCGCGGAGAACAACCCTCGTCGCAACTGGACGCGGCGGTGCTGCAACCGCATACCGCGTGTTTTGACACCGGAAGTAACCGCCAACTGCACGATCTGACGGTAAGTACCTATATGTACATAGGGTGATCCATTGAACGTAAAATACTCATTATTTAAAGAGAAAACACTAGAGCTTTTGAAAATATTCTTTTTACCGCATTAAAGTTGTTACAAAACGATTTGTTTGAAAATAATTATATTTTTTATACTATTTTATGGTTATCATTTTTTAAAGTTATTTCTCTTTTCAATGACAGCATATATTTTTGATTTAATTAACCGAAGCAGAATATTATTTGGAATATTTTAAGGTGTAAAAAATAAAAATTAAATTTCGGGCAAGTAGTTTTTTAGTCATAAACTGCAGTAGTGGACCAACATTTAGCCGTGTACCCTTGTATATACCATTCCACTCCGATAATCCAAACTTTGAATATTTAGCTAAGTAATAGGTATACATCATAAAGTCAAAAACTTCTAGTCCAAAACTAGATATTCATGTAATAGTAACAGTTTTTGTAATAATAAATGGCTTAGGTTAAATGGTTCACTTGGCATCAACGAAGCAATGGAGTAATTGGATCGACAGGGGAAGGGATACTCTTTGGGGATGGTGCTTACGCAGTCTCGGCTGAACTTCGTGCCTTTATTTTTGCAATTGTATTTATTTATTTATTTGAAAAAAAAAATCCACTACAGCTTTGATAAACTTATAACAACAATAGAAATACATTTTAATTTAAATTAAATAGTATTTTGATATATTTATTTCTGTTGAACCTCGGTATCTTGAAGTCCCAGGGATCAAACAAAAAAATTTGACGTATCGAAACTACGAGTTACCGATGTAATTAAAAATATGTGAATGATAGGAACTAAAAAAAAATCGATGTATAGGAACTTCAGCATACGGAGTTTCGAGGTTTTACTGTGTTAATTATATCGAAAACAGTTTAATATTTTAAGAAAAATAAAAGGATGGATTAAAATTAGCATGTAATATATGCAACTCCGGAGTGGTTGAGTTTTTTCATTATAATATAGAAATCAAACATTTCCATGTGGAATGGACGACGTGATGCAAGAAGATGCCTTAAAATTAATTTGAGATGATAACCTATAAGAATTAGGATAATCGATTTTGCCATTCAGTACATGATATATTTTTAATAAAAGTTATATAAGTTTCATGCCTATAAATTATCAGCTATAAAGAAACTAAGCGTACATGCGCCAATACTGCAGGAAAATATAATAATCATGATGAAGGGGGGAGGCTATCAATTTTATGTACCTACTTACATAGGTTAGGAGGACCATACGTGATACTTTCTGTTTTTGATCATAATGCCCCTTGTCCCGACAAACATCAAACGGGACACTTTCGTTCCGTTTTCAGAAAATCGTACCTTCTTAATTTGTTCAGTTCTATATTGAATTATTTGAACCTTATTTGAAATTTATACACTAAACTAGCTTAAGTTTTTGGTTAACGATCATTGAGTGCCAACAAACAATTAACAGTCCACGGGAATACTGCTGAATTGATTTATTGCGCAGTGTGATATTTGTTAACTGCAGTCACCCTTTCCAAAAACTCATCTCATATATTATGCAAACCTTACCTACTCAAAAATATAAAAATAATTAAGCAATTTATGGGGGTATTTTTTTCTGTACATAGACTTAAACCAAATTTATTTGTACCGTTTTAATATATATATACTATATATATATATATATATATATATGGCCCCCTTAACGCCATAGACTGGCGAACCACAAAATATTATATGAAACTTTCAAGTCGAAAAAAATCGTAGCTGTGCTACACGGTCCCAAAGGACAGAGCCATAATTCCAATATGGGTCTGACGAATGCACAAAATATAACACGTATAAAATAAAACGTATTTTGAATGTAAGAAAAAAAATAATATATAAATTGCAACACGATTCTTAATGTCGAAATATCCAACGCTATAAGCATGGATAATATATCATCAACACGATGTACATTTTAGTAATATCTATTAATATGATTTTGTTAAAATAAATGTGATTTTTAAGCAACAAATACATGAAACGAGTAGCGTGCTTCCGTCTGACGAAATAAAAAAGAACACGCGTCAATCATTATACATAATCAGATTAGACAGTGTATTAGTATAACTATAAGAATATAGTAATATATTACTCTAAGGTGAAACCGTAACAAGTTATATGGAGACTTCATCACTGTAAGATAATCGTTGATTATTATTGAAATAAATACTATTTATATTCAATAGTAATAGCAGTTATCAAACAAAAATATCATGTCTTTGCAGAGATCATATCCCTCGTCACTCTCCAGTCCACGTGCCACACCATAAACACGCGGAAGTTCATCGCCACCCGCGCGCATGTATATATAAATATTTATAATTGAGTTTATACAATATAATTATTAACTATATTACATACAGTTTATTGTATACGTGTTTAGGCTTTGCGGTCCAAATTCATTCGGTTTTTTTCTTTGTATCGGTCTGTGTGTTTTCATTCAACTTACGGTGGTTTATCGATGGCAGTCTAAAAACTTGTTACAGAGGCTCGTGTTTCCGGCCGCGAGCGTTTACGACTCAATCTACGCATTACAGTTCGTTTTGTAGACCTCGACGCGCTTTTCGTACAAAATACGCTGTACAGCCCTGTAAAAACCGTCTGGGGAAAACTAAAAACAAAAACGATTTTATGGCTATACACTTACGCCGTTGCATTAAAAAAAACACTCTTATAGTATATTATTATTATATATATGTATGTGTGCAGACCGATGTATAAATAAGATATATATATTGAGTTACCACAACGATGCATGGTGTAATCGAAAAAAATTATATGACATCGATGGCGTTTTTCCAAGGTATATTTTTGACTGTAATTTATGCTGGTTTTCAGCACATGCATCACACTTTTATCACGAGTCAATGGTAACTTTAGAAGTCATTGTCCTAAAGCAATTATCTCCGCGTACTGACTGTCGAGAATTAATTGGTTAAGAGTACCTTATACACTAGCATTTTGTCGTCTCCGTCTTACAATTGAATAAGATAGCAAGTTTACGATCTGTAATTAACGTTTAGCTTCGTTAATTTAAAAATTAGAGTGAATCAACCCATTCAGGTGGGTCCAGGTGGGGAGGAAAGTTCAGATACATTGTAGATTTTCTTCAGATGCCCCTTCGTATACACTTAAAGGAGGAAATCTCGCCATAGTCCACTCTGAATAAAATATACTGTGTATTCAATAATTTTACACTAGGGTTAAATAAATGAAATATAAAAAAATGCAAGCGACGACAGTTTATCGGTTCACCGGTCCCTCACATTTTTATCACGATTGTGATGTGATTCGTATAAAATATCGCGAGTTGACCCGCGGACAATAACTTATTATATTACAAGTGTCTAATACACGACGACTAAAATAACTGTTATCTGAAAATTACGTAAAATTAGGTACATTGTAGAGCTATATAATATTTATGTTATAAGTTGTAACCACGATTAGAAAGAGACAACGAAATAAAACAAAACCATAGAACATAATATGATACTTCTGCATATATATGCAGTTCTTGTTTCTCTGAAACATATTGTTATATTATTATAATACTAATTTAAATATGAAATCAACTTGTACATACATTACCATATATTTATGTAGATTTTAACCTGAACGGTTTATATTTTCGTATTTTTCGTAACATTTAGAATATTTAGATCGTCGACCATCGTTACAGGGTAGGTAATGTTGTTTGCCATCATCCCGCCATGCCACCGCTTCGTATAAAATTTAAAAAAATCAATAGAAAATCCACCGGAGATCTTTAATCTAAAGTTTCAAAATTGACTATCAAAATTTCTTTTTATCTCGATGTCCGATTTTTAATCAAGTCCAACGCTTGAAATATTTAGAGTAAAAGGACAAATACTACTTACTTAAAACAAATTACATCAAACACCAGCATTCTTGCAACCTTACAAATTTTAAAATATCGATAAAAATGAGTTATGTTGAGTTATTCATCGCAATACCTACCTACTCAATAGTAAATGGAATTCAAATTGTACAACAAAAACCTATTGTTAAAACAAATTAAAAGTGTGAGAGAGTGATTATTTTAAAGAAATTACGATTCAAGGATCATAAACATATCTCTAACATATGTTTGTGTTTGCTCAAGTTTAATTATGAAATAATAGTTATCAAATGTGCTACAATTAATTATAAACAGTATGTTATTTTTATTACTTATACTTGAAATTGTTATTATGATGGAAAAAAAATGTTCGAGAATGATGTTCGTCTAGTGGTAACAAATAATGAAATAACCAACTTATTAAGTACTATATTTTTATATCAATTCTATCACTATATGTTTTGAAATATATGCACATTTTCATAATTTGTAATTTATTATAGTAGTTGTAAATTATAATGCACTAATACATATTATAATAGTTAGTTATAATAGGACACAAATTAACATTAAAATATTAGGTTAAATTATGTATTTATGTGGTACCAGCTATCAGGTTTATCGACACCATTAAAAATTAATATTAATTATTAATCAATGCATCAAACATTTGATCAATATAAATTGTTTAGTTTTGTATAGACTCTAATAGTCTTATATTTATATATATATACAAAGCAAAAAAATCAGAAAAGTGATAATATAATAAAATATACATTGTATATTATTATCGTTTATATGAGGTATGCTTATGACTTTGTAGCATATGCAGTATACATTATACCTGCTTTACACTATAAATCATAATATTAATCGTATAAATGACGTAATATTCACCTATAATTTGCAAACATTTTAAAAAATGTATAAAAGTGTATAAAAACGTTATGAAATATTCATTTCCGTATTAAATAAATCAACATTGTCGAACATATAGTAGAAATAGATTTATAATAATATATTACATAATAATCGTGCAGTTATAAAACTGAAGCGAATTTAATCACTACAGATAAACGTCTATGAATTCTATA